AGTACCATGGAGTCCTGAAATCCTACACCCTCACCTAATTCACTCTCTCTCAACATGCACGTCTAACTGTAATTGTCTCCTGGGGAAAGAGAACCTCTACTGTGTACTGAGAAGGGTTCTGTTGAGAATATCTCCAGCTCTCTTTTCCTGAAGGAGAGAAAACCTAGACATCTTCCCTCTTTCTCCCCCTGAGTCACTTCTCAGTAGGAAAGGGCACGAGGGACCAGTTTGAGTGGAGCCATGCATGGGAGTGCATCTATTCCTCCCTCCAAATCACTGCCCCACTTTCAGAATTAAAATTGAGATGTTTCAGTAATGGATTTGGAGAGAGGAGTTGCTAACTGTTTCCTTTATTGTATTCTCCCAGTCCCTTCATTTGATTTTCTACCTTTACCTGCAAGCCTGGCAGTTTTTATTTTGAAACTTACCGTGTTTGAGTCCTATCTTGTTTCTGCTTCTCCTCGTTAGTCTTTATATCCTCCGCCTGAGTTTTCTGTTTGTCTTTTTTCTCCTCCCTCATTTTTAGTCTATTCCCCCTTTCACCTTCCTTCCCTGGTTCCCCCCTCACCACATCTGCTAAACTCATTTATTCTGTTGTCTCCCCTGTCCTCAGACAAGCTCCCTAGTCTCAGCCCAGCCACAATGTTGTACTTACCTGATAGGTAGGCATGGGCGGCGTGTGGCTCCAGCATGGGAAGGCTGGTGTGAATGCAGGATATTCCCCTGGCACCCAGACTGTGGCCTCACTCCCTGCTCTGCCCCAAGGCCCACCTTTACTTGGCCTCCTCCCTGAGGCCCTGCCCACACACCACCCCACTCCACGCCAGGCCTCTCTTCTGCTTACTCCTGCCCCCCAGCTGCTCACCATTGCACCTCTCCTCTGCTGTGGAGGAGTGATGTGGTGGTGGGGACTCGGGGGAAGCAGGGTGGAGGAGAGGAGCAACTCGGTGAGCAGTGGGCACCTTGAGGGAGAGGGGCTGAAGGAGAGGAATGATGCAGGAGGTGGGGTGTGTGGAAGAGAGGAGTGCCATTGAGTGGTGGGGGCCTCAAGGGATAGTGGAGGAGAGGAGCCACATGGCAGCCAGTAGGGACCTGGGAGGCGAGGGGGAAGGTGGAAGACAGGAGCGACTCAGTGAGCAGTGGCGACCTCGGGGGAGAGAGGGTTGAGGAGAGGAGCAACACAGTGAGTGGTGGGGGCCTCCGGGAAGGGGCAGAATGAAGGTGGGCCTTGTGGAGGGAAAGAGGAGTGGGGGCAGGAAGAGGAGCAGCATGGGTGGGGCAGTGTCTGTTGGGGGAGGCTTAGCCTCCCCCAGCCTATTATACCCACCCACCACGGATGTAAGGGATGCCATACCAAGAAATACCAGTAGGCTCACACCTTGAGCATCACAGTCAAAGCGTATCTGCCTGGCAGCGTATCTGACTGTGTGAGAGGCAGAGGGGTGAGGCAGGGCAGGGCTGGGCTAGGATAGCAATCTGAGAAGGGATGGTGGGGAGGTTGTTCTCAAGGAGCACATGCTGAGCCAGACTCTGTGACTGCCTCTGGTTTAGCCAGCCAGGCTACTAGGATTTCCAAAAACCAAGACAAAACAGAGAAAAGGACACAAGGCCCTGGGGATGGGGCTTCTCAGCTGGTCATGCACTGAACCACTGCAGGTTCCTGGTTCTGGTCCTGGTCTTGCCCCTCAAGTTAGTGATGTCTTGTGTCCCCACCCTGGCTTCTTACAAGGTGGGGTGGGATTTGGGCCAGGCCCTTCTCCGGTCCTCCTAGAGCACCAGGCTGGACAGTACCGAGGGGCCTATGCTTTCCCACCCCATCCTCTTGAAACCATTCTCTTGCTTCACCTGCACTCAGCTAGCAGGGGAAGGGGAGAATGTCAGCCAGAGTCAGCTGGTCACCTCACTCGCAGAGTCCCTACTGGAAAAGACACCCGCATTCTGAAAGATTTTCAGACAGCTTGTGAAACTGCAGCTGTCTGGCCACAAGCCCACCTGTAGCTACTGCATTCACCTTCACTTGAGTGGGTGGATTTCGAGTTCCCTCCTTCCACCTCACATTTAAAGTTCTGTGATTTTAAGCGTTTGTAAAGGGGCAGGTGGTAAGACAGGGTTGGTTTTGCTCATAAGAACACAACAACGGCCATAGTGGGTCAGACCAATAGTCCATCTAGCCTAGTATCCTATCTTCCAACAGTGGCTGGTGCCAAATGCTTCTGAGGGAATGAACAGATCAATTTTTGAGTGATCCCTCCCCTGTCATCCAGTCCCAGCATCTGGCAATTAGAGATGTAGGGCACCTAAAGCATAGGGTTGCATCCCTGCCCAACCTGGTTAATAGCTATTGATGGACCTATCTTTTTTGAATCCAGTTATAGCTTTGGCCTTCACAACATCCCCGGCAACGAGCTCCACAGGTTGATTGTGCATTGTAAGTACTTTTTCACACTTCTATTTTAAAGCTGCTGCCTATTAATTTTCTTGGGTGACCTCTGGGTTGTTGTGTTATGTGAAGGGGTAAATAACATTCAGGTTTAATGTTTTCCATTTTGGCTCCAGCTATCTCCAGTTGGGGCCACTCTATGCTACTTTAAAGGTGCAACATCTTCAGACTTATCCTAGTGACGCAATAGCAAGAGAACTAGGACCATGTGAAAAGCACTACGGCTATAAAGTGGGACATGCAGCACTTCATCCACTGCAGAGTCCTTTAAGCAGGACAGTCCGTGCCCAGAGAGGCTTACAATCTAAATGAGCAAGTCAATTCAGTATGCAGTTGGACAGCCAGAAAAAGGATATATGTTAAAAGAAAATTCTTAGTATTATGGATAGGTGACATCACTTTCACAGAGCTGGGATAGCAATTGCTGAAGGCTTGAGGAAGTGGCGAGACATATATATATATATATATATATATATATATATATAATACTAGA